AACCTACTATTTGTGATTCTATGCTCTGATAATTTTATACTTTCAATGATTAGCAACGATGGTCAAAAGAAATCTTGTCTCTTTCCTTTGGAATGCGGGGGAAAAGGGAAGGGTCCTTCGGTCACTCTCAGGTCAGATCTGAGAGTCTGCTGGAGAATCTCCTGCGGGACAGGGAGCTATAAAATTGTCTCTTTTGTTGATCGGATTTTAGCAATTTATGTGTCCAATGGACATGAGGTATCCCTATCTGGTCCTTGAAAGCCTGTAAAACGCTTTTAAGCACTGTGAAAGTACTGTCTTCTTTGGCATATCTTGAGAGATAGCCAAACAGTCCAGGAAATGCTTCACCTTCACTGACCCTGCATGAGTTTTACGACTGCATCTGTTGGATAGGAGTTATTCGATTTGTCTCAGTGGAATGTGAGGGTTTGCTGTGTGTCTCCATCATGTAGGTGGGTCTGTTGTGAGACATAGATCCTACAAACGTGTCCACAAAAGGAGTTAATTCAGAGCCGCGCAGACACGTTCATGCATTCTGGGCATTTTGTGCAGATAGCCTATAGCCTAAAGTCAAAATATTAACGTTATGTTGTATAAATAACGAAGCGTATTCTATATGAGATAAATGATGCGTTAAATCCCATTGATTAAAAGCCTGCTGCTTCATTCTACTGATCATCTTCAGCGCGCGCAGCTCAAAACAGAAATGCAGAATATTAATAACTACTGTGATATACATTATAATGAGAGCACTATTGTAAAAAACTGTTGTGAATTCTTAGGGTTTCGCTGATGTTTAATTTTAACTCGTTAAAAGACGTTTATCTTTTAATCAAAACATAAAACATTATTTACCCCGTTTGTATCTGCGAGGCGTCCGTTACACATTTTCACTGTGTGTTAACGTCAGTAATTATGACTGTCGAGGACACTCCTAATATATATGTATATATGTCAGTCGATTCAATTTTTTTATCTAATTAATTACAGGAGTGGCGATTAATTAATCTAATTAATCACAAACTCAATTTGGCTTTGAAAATACCCACGAAAGATCATTTAAAGCTATTATTGTGTTAAATGTGAAAAGTATCAAGTAGACATTAAATAGCAGCTTTAAAGAAAATTCAACATAACATTTTTTACACTTAAATGTTTAGGCTACAACAGCCTAACATAAACCTATGGAACATAAAAGAAGATAATTTGAGAAACATCTCAGTATTTATTGTTCATGCAATGAAAGTCATTGGTAACCAAAACAGCTTTGTTACCAACATTCTTCAAAATACCTTCTATGTTCCACAAAAGAAAGTAAGTCATACAGGTTTGAAACAACATGAGTGTGAGACTTTTTATTTTGTAACAAGTTATGAAAACGACGACAGAATAATGACACTGACATTAAGCCTGACAACATCTCATCTGACTGCAGATATTGAATCGGGACAGCGTGTTTTTCTCAGGCACTCTTTACTTAAACTGCATCTGTATTTACTTAAAATGACAGAAGTGTCAACAGCTTTCATGCATGTCTTTCAAAATAAAAGTTTCACATCAGATTTTAGAATTACTTTTTTGCTGTTGATGTTGTTTATTTGACTGTACACTCCTCAGACTACTCAGAACGGTCTTGCAACCCTCTTTTGGGTCACGACCCACCAGTTGAGAAACGCTGCATTAGACTGTATATTAAATTACAGTATATATATTTAGTGAGGATGCATTAAATTGATCTAAATTGACAGCAAAGACATAAGTGTGTCTATATTTCTTGCATATATATATATATATATATATATATATAGTTTCTTCTATTTCAAATAAATACTGTTTTTTTTTTTTTTACTTTCTATTAATTACATTTTTTTGTAATCCTGAAAAAAAAAATCTATAACAGTCTCCACAAAAATATTAAGTAGCACAACTGTTTTCAACACTGATAATAAGAAATGTTTCTTGAGCACCAAATCATCATTATAGAATAATTTCTGAATGATTATGTGTCACTGAAGACTGGAGTAATACCTGCTCAAAAAAAAGTTATGGCAATGGCAAACCTAAATTAAACAGTGACTGTCTCCCCACAGGGCGATGAGGACCTGCAGACTGTGTGCATTGGAGAAATCTTCTTGGAGTTTGTCAACATGCTTCCAGCGTTTCAGACCTACTGCCTGCAGCAGTCCACATCTGTGAACATGCTCAACACACTGGAGAAAGAAAAAGAGCTTCTTAGGTACACATAATATATAATATAAACTGCTTAACTGGTTATCCACTGTTACAAATAAAGGTAGTTAAGCATCAGTTAGTAGGTCTTTTCAAATATAATCCTTCAGGATTGTACATGCACTATGCACTTAAATATTTCACTAGCTTCACCATTATGAACAGTGACAACCATGACTGGTTATGTTCGTCTGTGATTGGTTCATGAGATAAATCCCGTCACTTGTTTTGGTGTGCATTCGCGAATCAGTTTGAATGAACAATATAATGGCATTAATGGGAAGACTAATTTTAAAAAGTTGTTTGTTACATCAAAATAATGGGTAAAATGGCATGAAAACATGATCTGTGGGGGTTTTTAGTGAGTAATCAGCTTGGTAAAAGTAAATCTGTGACCAATATTTACCGAGCTTTGATGATTGATGACCCGAGTCATTAATATAATTAATAATTAGTAATTAATATAATTAATATATATAGTCTATAACATTGATCAAGTTAACTATTAAAAAGAATATCTGAACATAAGTTCACAAATAAAATATGTTGTTTAAATTGTTACTGCCTTGAGTTATTTTGGAATAAATGTAAAATGCTTAAAAACACGTCTTAATGAGATTCATACTTGGCTTTAATAAATAGAGTATTGATTACATTGTTAATGTAAAAATATAAAACAGAATTGTTTTCTTTTTCTAATAGTGAAAGTAATGTTTATTTAAACAAGAAAATGTTACTAGTTTATATTTGATTTAAAAAAAATCTTTGCCTCATTTCAGAACACCATCAGTGTGTGTGTGTGTGTTTATACATGTAAGAAAGGTCTCTAGTGTTTTTTTTTTTTACAAAGAACTATTTTTCGTTAAATGTTAAGTGTTGTAATTAGTAAAGTGATTAAAGGCTTTTTTTTGTTGCCAAAATCAAGTTTTTTATTAGGTTTTTATTTTGCAAGAATAACTGGAAATTATTATTAAGCCATAATTTCATAAACTAGCTAGTTAACTTGATGACTCAGCACCAAAAATGTATACCCACAATGTTCAATACATCACAAAATGTTTACGTTTGCAGTGCGTAGTGAGCCAAGTGACTGAACTAGCCCAGAACTCTTGCATGTTATGTATGCAATATGTGACTCAAGTTGAAAGTATATGAAAGTTTGCTCCTTTACATCCCTCAGGATATTCCTCGACGTGTCCCAGAATGACAACACAGCACTCAGGCGCATGAACCTGCGCTCCTTCCTCATGGCACCGCTTCAGCGTGTGACCAAGTACCCATTACTGCTAAGTCGCATCAGCAAGGTCACCAACGAATGTCACCCAGACTACTCCCGCTTAAAAGAGGCCAAGAGCCGCGTGGAGTCCCATCTAGAGCACATCAACATGAAGACCAAACAGGAGGGGACCGCCACATGGTCCTTGCGCTCTTTCCGGCGCGACAGTCGCAAGAACCGAGAAGTCATCAACATTGAGATGAGAGAGCTGTCGATGAAGACGGTGGGCTGGACGCGAGAGAGCACGCGCTTCATCATGGAGGGGCCACTCCAATTGGCGCAGCCCGCCGATGGCCAGTGGCTTAAGAAGGGAAGCAAATCCCTCAAATTCCAGAACGTTCAGAGTTTACTCATGGTACGCACCCTGCGCAATGTAGACACGGTGACTGAAGGGAGTCTGGAAACCTCGGAGACGGTGCAGGACGGTGTACTGGTGCTCATCAAGGACAAGAGCAGCGGGAAGTTCACTGTGTTACGGGAGCCAATCCATCTGGCGAACTGCGTGGTGTCCGCCGACGCCGACTGTGAAGACACCTTCGAGGTGTTGGACATCCGACGCGAGGCCTTCGTTTTCCGTGCCTCCGACAAACCTCGCACTCAGCAGTGGTTTCGTCAGATCAAGAGATACGCTTGTGATTTGGGATCCTGGAGAAAGAGACGCAACGCTCTCCCAAATATCATGATTAACACAACCCAGAGCCGGTCCTGAGACTGAGCCCTTAGCAACACATCCCTCATCCCTTCCCAGCATAACTCTGATGTAAATAATAATTTTAAAAAAAATCAATATTTTGTTGAGCAAACAGTATTTGTGTGGGGGAACCGTATCCAAGTAGATGTTTCTCCACCACTGGACTATTAAATTGCAAGGTTTTACTGTGATTTGACTGAATATTAATATAGACTGCAAGAGGGCACTTTGTATGAGTGGAAAGGAAGTAAATGACATTTGGGAAGAGGAAAAATCCACTGTCAAGCAAAAAGTAATGCCCTTTGGCATACCAAAATGAGGGCCTTATTAGGCGCCTCACTGCTGCACTTGTAAAACACTGATTGTACGACCAGTTTTCTACTGAGAAGAAATGTTCTCAGTTGTGAAGAGGTATTTGTGATAAGCATGAGGGAACATGTTTGTGATTGGATGGACTTTATGTGGACTTTTTAGTATGCACAAGAGAGTGGAAACCTGTGTTTGTGTGAAGACTGAGGTAATGCTGATTTGTTTTCAGATCATTGTAATTCGCTCTTCCCCTCTCTCTCTTCCATTAGCATCTTTCCCCACTGCCATTCAGGAGCAGTTTTCATTTTTGTATCACTGTGCTGGTTTACAAAACAGCAATAATCTTTATTGTATTATGTAGCAGCAGTCGAGCTGTTTTTATTCACAGGTACCCATATTCTTGTGATCGGTGATGTAACAAACATTTTTTGGTATGTTTTCTCCACAGTCTAATGAGGGTGTAGCATCAAGTATTATTATCATTGCCACATTAATGGTTGTGCTGAAACCATCTGTGGCTATACACCAGATCTTCAAATAGAAAAAATGTCAATTGGATGTTTCCCCCCAAAATGATGTAGCTTATAATTACAATTTTGGTTTTCTTTGTGATCTCCGAGGGGGAGAAAATATGTGCCTTTGTTTCTTTGATACTGAATGAGTCCTTAGTACTATTTTGTTCAAGTTTTTCCGCTCCTTTTACACACGAATCAGGCCTTATGTCAAATTGAGAAACAGATGTATAATTTTTCAGTAGCTGCTATTATATTCTGACTTCCCATTGATATACAGACTGTGCTTTACGACAACTCATTAAATGTTTTTGTTTGATGCACTTTAATATGAAGGTCCTAAAACTGGAGCGAGGACGTTGTTCTGCAGTTTACAAAGCTTTATTGTACTTTGTTTTAAAGATTGTTTTAGCTTTAAGAGAAAAAGAACCACAGTTGACTTCAGCAATAGCAATCAATCACAGTCATTCTGGTCTCTCTGTATGTATAAACTCAATACTGATGGATAGAAATTGTCAGTATCACTGGATTTAGGTTTCAACATGAATATTTACTGTTTTTACCGATGGCACTGATACTGTTAGAAATATCATACTGTAGCTTCCACATTACACAACGAAAAGAGTTGAACCTGCCAGGACTGAGAGCTGAGACCAGTCAAGCTGATAAATACTTTTTTCCGTTCTTAAAAATCCTAATTTAATATTTTTTTCGGTTGTGTAAAATATTGTGAATTACAATTAAAAATGATGAGTGTCCATCTCTCTCAACTGACTCCATATTTTCTGAGAACATTATTCCCAGTGTGAATCTTTATTATATAACATTAGTGAACAAGCAAATGTTTTCCCAGTGAAAAGCGAAAGTCGAAACACCACATGAACATTCACATTTCAAATGCAAATACTCAGGAAAGTTAAGAAATCTCTCTCTGAGAAATCTGTCTTTGGAGAGAAACAAAGAATACAAAGCATTATTGCAGAGAATTTCTTTTTAACCATTTTAAGTAAAAGCCCCCCAAAAACACTGAAAGAGCAGATCAAACATGCACCCACAAAGAAGCCACAACAAGAAGAGCAATGAAAAGAAGTCAATGCACTAAGAATCCACAAACAAAATAGGGAGGAACATTAAAAGTTGCCATAAACCTTTACAAAGGAAAACAAAAGCACTGGCAGTTTGTCCTTTGAAAACATCTGTTTGGAAGGTTTTAGTGTTATTTTTTCATGCAACAACATAAGAGCCAAAACAAAAGGAAAGAAACATATGAACCGAAAAGCAGAAGGGATAAACCAGCGGTCAAATTTGCACTAATAAATCACTTTGATCTCAAGTACTAATCCAAAAATTAACATTGTAATTATTTCCTCATCCTCATGTAGTTCCAAACCTGTATAACTTTCTTCTGTGCATCACAAAAGAAGAGATATTGAAGATGTTAACAGTGATTTTTCTCCACAATTAAAGTCAATGAGGTTCAAAACAACACTAGATCTCTGTTGACATTGTATGGACAAAAAATATTGTGTTCCCAAGAAGAAAGTAAGTCAGACAGGTTTGGAGTGACATGAGGGTGAGTAAATAATAATTACTGTATGAACGGTCTTTTTAATGGAGAAATACATGAAAGTATAAATATGTACCAACAGCAAACCAGTGGTTAAGGAATCCACTAGATGTTTTAAAGATTTAATATGTATTACGGCATGAAACTAAACATTTTGGCACAGGTTTTCAAATTTATCTCCATGTACACCTTGGCAAGATACCATTAACGTGATTTGAACTGTTACATTCAACAAAAGTGCTTGCGTACAAAACCCAATCTAATAAATCAATGAGCATAGGTGTGTGTAAAATGTAATATTTATGTAGTTTAACATCAAGAAAACATCTTGATGACTCAACTGGACATAAAGCCACAAAACAGGCACAGAACTTCGTTTTTTAACAGCATTTCTAAGTATCTCTCACCCAAAAAAAAGTTTTTTTCCTTCTTGTTTGACTGCACAATGATTCACAAGAGACATGGCCGAGACAAAAACATCAACAATAATAAAAAAGCATACAATCAAACAAAGAAAAAAAAACAGGCAAACAAATGCATCTGTACATAGGCATCTCTCAAAAAAAGTGAGAAAGAGAAGATCTCCCCACTAAAACCTGAACTGATCTCGGTCATGGTGGGCAGGTGGCTTAAAAGATACCGCCCAAGGCTGCTGGGGCTTTAAAACCTCCATTCCCTCCCCTCTTCCTCCGACCACCTGCTCGCACAGGTTTAACCACTCTTCTAGTCGTGGAGAATCTCAGCCAGGGTAGTGCCCCGCAGCCTCTTGCGTTCCCACACCGCCTCTACTTATCTCCTCCAGCCTCCTGCTCCTTAGCAAGGCCTCGGATTGAGAGATCGTACACCACCTCCTCGATCTTCTTCACATCGTACTTGAGGCCGTCGTAGCGCTTGCGAAGAGGGTCGTTTTTTAAGTTGAGCAACCGAAAGCCAGAGTCAAGTTCGTTGATAAAGTTTGAGATCCTAAGCGGACGTCCATAGTCACCTGCGGTCACGCTGTTCACTGCCAGCCTCGACTAAATGGAAAAAAATGCAACAGATATATTGTGCTTTTAATTTCATTCGCACTCTTTCCGCTCTTGCCAAAGTTTATTTCACATCAAAAAGGCAAAATCCACAATAATGCAAAATATCAAAATATCATAAATGCACATCTTAATCTAGCGGCTCGTTGTAACAATCTCAATGATATGACAACACAACGGGTATGGACTGTTCACAAAGAACACATTTTTGCATTTGCATACTATTTTTTTTTTATGTAAAAAAAAAGAAAAGTTGTTTGACAATTCTGATTACGTCTTTTGTGACATTCTAAAAACACGGCACTCAAGTTAAAATAAGTTTGACCTCAAAACCTTACTTTTTTCCATTCTGCTGCTCACATCTCAAGTTGTTTTTAACACAACAACGCGTGTGAATGGCCCTTAATTCTGGTTGCCACTTGGCATAAAATTCTACCTGTACCTGAAAAAAGTTTGTTCACCAGTGTTTTTTAGATTCTGAAAAAAATTTGACACCCAGTCTGCATTAAATGCAGATCAACAGTAGGTTCTTTTGGATAACTTTGTACAATTATAATTATAAACTCGCTCACTATGACTCCCTACACTTGTATGAGTGCGATTTATTGCCCAAAAAAGCGAAAACAAAAAATAGTTAAAGATGAATACAACTGAAAGCGTTATTTTTTCCCAAAACATTTTGGTTTGTAGATGTTGCAGTAATATTGTTAACGTGAATTCCTTTGGACACTATAACTGCATAATGAATGTCTAATATAGTGACAGGTACTTTGTATATTGTATTTATTGAGTCTGCTGACAACAGGACAAATGGAAGAGTAAAGAATGTTCATTGTGATGTATTTGTGTCTCTGTACAGCCTTCAGAAGGATCCCAGCATCAGAAACAAGTGAATGGTTTCATTTTAATGACACCTACTTACATGCAATAGTGAGGGGATGGTGGTATTGTTTCCTATGCAATGATGTTAGACAATCAAAACAGTGGCTGTTTACTGAGAAGCCTTAAAGGCTTAAATATAGCCCCTTAAAAAATTTTTATTTTATTTTATTATAAGTTAACAAAGGAATTAAATTTAAAAAAAATCCATGTCTTGATCCCTTTAATGCTAAGTTAATGTAAGCATATATGTTTAAATATAGTAGCAGGTACATTAATACTACTAAAGATAATAAGATTGGTAGTTTGAATGAATTAGAGAGGAAAAACACTTACCAGCTCACTGGCCAAAATAAGAACTCCTGCAAGATAGTCTTCCACATCCAAATGAAACCCTTTTTCTCTGTCGACTTCAACTGTGTAAGTGTAAATTAGAATTAATCTACAGCAGTCTCACAAGTATTCAAGATATGCAATATAAATAAACATGAACATTACATACTGGCAAGTATTTTTGCCACTTCCTCACGTGTAACCAAGGACTCGCTTTCCAGGTATACCACAAAAGCTGCAAGGAAGGCAAGTCGTTGAAGAACAAATCTCCAGTGTTCATGATACCTATGGAAAGATGAGGATGTGCCAGTTTTTATTATAATTATCAAGACTAGAACAGAAGCATGATCTATTCAATCACTGAGGGGAAACAATCCCTCTACACTAACCGATAGTACTGTTCCACAGGGAACTTAGTTTTCAGCTCTCCAGTGTGGTTTCTTACAGTGCAGAACAGCTCTCTCGCCTTCAAACACTTGCTGGGAACTGGAGGAGGGAGTGAAAATGTATTAGAAAAGACATTATGTAGACAAAAAGATCAAGTATTTTAACTTACTGTCTTTGAAACCACTTGGTTGATGGACACTTTGAAGAACAGTGAGGATCTCTCTCGCTGTCTGCTCCAGAACTTGGACAACTTTTCTTATGTCCTACAGGAAGAGCATAGAAAGATGACAGTCATCCGAGCACATAACGTTATATGGATTTTTTTTTAAAAAAAAGCAAAATTCAAAAAGAGATCAGCAGAACTTTCTGTCTAGACTTTGACATCCGTTGCACATTATTATATCTAATTCACAAGTCACAAATTGTATTACTGTGAATATTACTGATAAAGCAATATTTTATGTAGAGGTTCTGCGACACGTGCATAACAATCCAAACGGACTTTACGTTGCTTCTTCTTCTTTTCTTTTTTTTTCTCCAAGGAAACCTTTTTTTTACGTGTCAGTGCAGTTGTGTACCTCTCGAATATCTTGATCAGCACTCAAAAATCCTTGGATGTAGCTAAACATCTCCGTTACAGACATCTTCAAATGTGCTGGCTTGTGCGTCGCTCTTTACTGTGACCAGCTGCTCCAAAAATATACACTATTTTGATAGTGTATGGATGTAAACAGAGACTGTTTATTAATCGTCGTGCTCGCGAACCAAACAGCCTGTAGTTATAATTTTTATTGTCATCAGCATGCACGACACGTTAACAGCTACCCTTCTTCTTCTTCTTCTTTTTGTTCAATGGCCGTTCATTCCTTAGGAGTATTACCGCCACCTACTGTATATCTTGCGCACATGGGTGATGAATCTGTACTGAAGGAAAACACTTTTTTTTGTAATGCCCCACCCACCCCAGAGGATCAGAGCCCAAGCTTCAGCTGGCGCTGCGTGTTCAGCTCCTCCAGCTTCCACACTGTGCTCCTCAACCTCCGACATGGGCAGAAGCATCATGATCCTCATCCTCAAACACTAAATCCTGTGGTCCAATCCTGTGAGCTCTAAAAATGTTAAAACCACCTTAAACATCTGACTATTTTATCTCATTCCTTCCCAGAGGTACCTTAACATCCAGAAAGTTTTTCTTTAAAGCTTATTTTGCTAACTTGTTCGCTGTTTCATTCCCTACTATCCCAATATGTGCTGTTACCCAACAAAAGTATACGATTATACCCTCTATTTTCAGTCTGCACAGTAATGTATACTTTTCTACTAGCAGGTCTTCTCTATCAGTTTTTGTAGACAATATACTTTTAAGAGCTGATGAAGAATCTGAGCAAATTACAGTCGGAGTCTTATTTGGCTTAATCTGTTCTACCCACTGCAATCCTACACTGTAAAAAAAATTCCGTAAAATTTACGGTAAAAAACCGGCAGCTGTGGTTGCCGGAATTTTATCGTAAAAAATATGGTAGCAATGTTTTAGATTTTATGGTTTTAACTTAAATTTACAGTTACTGATATAATGTTAATATACCAACCTATTGAAGTAGGCTACTGACATTTGTTTTGTACCTTTGTAATACACTGATAACCACCAAATGCAGATGGTGATGAGAAAGTCCAGTTAATTCTGTAGAATATACAGACAATTTGTCACTTAACCTTAAACTTATTTTCGTCTTAAATCTTGGAATGTACACTCCTATGCCCACTTTTTGTTTGATTGGGTCTTTAGATCATCTGTAGATCTGTATAAAAGAATAAACATTTTCTCTCATAAAAACATTGATTTCATAACTATTAGTATATCTTTCTTCTGCTTTTTCCCGGGCCTCCAACAATCTCATTTCAACAATGGGTTCAGGAATATTCCATACCGATACCCCATTTAATGGCATGTTGGGACAGATTTCTTCATTCTCCAGACCACAATCCTTGACCCACTGTTCATACTTCCAACCAAAACTATTCCCTCCATTCTTTTTATATTCCCAACAATCATTTAAAATTGTGCATGTACGATGACTCTTATTACTACCCTTTTTAAGTGTCCTGCTATGCTGCCTAGGTAGAGGCTGCGCAATAGATTTAGAGGCAGGCCGCGCGAGTGACTTCCGGTGAGTGTTGCGTGGCTGTAAAGCAGCTCTGATTGAGTTCAGCTTTTGCGGCACTGAACAGACACTCGCCTCACTGCCGCAGAACCAAATGAACGAACGCTCTCATTTCCCTTACCTCCAGACATGACAGCACTGAAATGATGCAGTACTTAGACATCCCAACCTCACAAAACATGGACGCCATTGAGAGGAGAATATTAAAGGAGTGAATAACTGTTACCGACAGCACTATTTTACACTGAACCGGATCGTTAGCTTAGCTGGCTAGCAGATAGATTTTCAGTCTCTGTTTGCTGGGTGGTGTTGCCCGAGGCCGGACCCCAGCGATGGGAATCATTTTCACAAAATTATGGAGGCTTTTTAACCACCAAGGTACGTAAAATAGTGTATTTATAATCATAATTCGGTCACATTCTGTTTAAATATAGACTGGCTATGTTTTTTTTTTACTAGCTAGCAAGTGTTTGCTGCTATAGTTTCGTTTTAAAACAGCGATGCTGGTGCTTATATACGACTAAAATATTTATAAACATGTTGTAAATACAAAAATATTCTGAGAACGTATGTCATTACATTAAAACAGTCGATAAGGCTTCAATAAACCTGCCTAAGGTGTTTCAGGACTGGCTGTTGACAGGTAACGTTACTGTGCTGTCAGGTTCAGGCTCTGTTTTTGGAGGTTGAACCCTGATATCTTAATTTTTTACTTACTAAAAGATAATTGTTGTGTAACATGTCAAACTCTGTGACGCGCTTATGTAATTTTCATATAAGAATAAATGTGGTTGAACATATTTTACCGTTGTATTTGAGTATTGTTATATTCCCCTATGCAGTCAGTGACATGTTTGGTTTTATGTATTTCGTCTGGAAATACATAAAACTTACCAACTGAGGTAATATCAATATAAAGTGAATGTGAAAGTCAGTTGTCAGCACTGAGAATAGATTAACCTGCTTATTCAGCAGCCAAGTGAAACACCCAATGCAGCACTCTTTGCTTTTTTAAGCCTGATAATTTGTGCCTCTTTCCTCTGTGATTTTGCAGCGCTGGTCAGCCTGTTTCTGTGACAGTGGTGTAATCCTCAAAGCACTGGGTTTTGTGTCAGCATTACTTGTTACACACGTCCATGGGATAGCCAGGTGGTCTCTCATTTATTATACATGGTGTGGGATATCCATAAAGCATAATCTTGTTTGAAAGATTTCCACATCAGTGTATGGGGTATTGAGCGATCCTCAAAGCACTGGGTTTTGTGTCAGCATTACTTGTTACACACGTCCATGGGATAGTCAGTGGTCTCTCATTTATTATACATGGTGTGGGATATCCATAAAGCATAATCTTGTTTGAAAGATTTCCACATCAGTGTATGGGGTATTGAGCATGTGCAAATTGTAACACAACCCAGTGGAACGTTTCTCTTCAGTTCTCACCTTACTCATTAGCTGAACAGATCATTGTGATATGGGTGAACCTTGTAACGTGAGAGTTGGAGACTGTTGCCTACAGTCAGATGCAGCACCATCATTAGTCTGTTTTATTTCTTTTTTGTTTAGATGAAGTAGCCTATAGTAACCCAAAAATGTTAACTGGTGAAAAAAGTACACTTCTATAATGTACTTAAAGTGCTCTGTTGCGCACTAATTTGTACTTAATATACTAAAAATGATTCTTTAGTACTTCTTAAGACAAACTTAAGATCATCTAAGTGTACTCAACTGTGCTATTTTGGGACACCATGAATATGAACTAAAATCACTTTTAACATGCTATCTCTGTTTAAAAAAATTGTTTACTCACCACTTGTAGTACACTTGAGTGTACTAGTGTATGAAAGATGACAACTGTGCTATTTTGGGACACCATGAATATGAACTAAAATCACTTTTAACATACTATCTCTGTTTAAAAAAAATTGTTTACTCACCACTTGTAGTACACTTGAGTGTACTAGTGTATGAAAGATGGTTCAAGTGTACTACAAGTGGTAACTAAATATATATTTTAAAATACAGAGATAGTCTGTTAAAAGTGCATTTTAATTCGTATTCATGGTGTCCCAAAATAGCACAGTTGAGTACACTTAGATGATCTTAAGTTTGTCTTAAGAAGTACTAAAGAATCATTTTTAGTATACTAAGTACAAAATTAGTGCGTGAAAATAGAGCACTTTAAGTACATTATGGAAGTGCACTTTTTTCACCTGGGAAGTCATTAAAGGTGACTTATTATTGTTCAAAAGTTTGGGGTTAGTAAGATTTTTAATGTTTTCGAAAGAAGTCTCTTATGCTCAACAAGGTTATGCATTTGATCAAAAATACAGTACATATTGTGAAATATTATTACAATTTAAAAGAGTGGTTCTCTATTTTAATATTTTAAAATGTAATTTATTTTATTGATGGCAAAGCAACATTACTTCAGTGCCACACATGATCCTTCAGAAATCATTTTAATATGTGTATGCTGATTTACTGCTCAAGAATCATTTGTCATTATTACATTGAAAACAGTTTTGCTGCTTAAAATTGTGGAAAATGGTGCTACTTTTTTTTCAAGATTCTTGAATAGCAAGTTCAAAAGAACAGCATTTATTTGAAATAGATATTTATTTTAACATTATAAATCTCTTTACGGTCACTTTTGATCAATTTGAAGTATCCTCGCTAAATAAAGGTAAGGTATTGATTTTAGTTTTTTTGTTTTTTTCAAAAAATAAAATTGTACTGACCCCAAACATCTAAAGTAAATCTTTTCATGCCTAAAACACACATCCGTGTTTTGTTGTCCATGTTTTGCATCACACTTCAGAATTGCCTCACACAACTGCTTAAATTCTTTCAAAACATTTCATGCAATAGACAGAAGTGATCTAATCAGAGCCTGTGAATGGGTAGATTCTAAGCCCTTCATGCACACGTTGTACCCCTTTGATTTTTCTTTGTTTATTCCTCAGTTTCATGTCTGTTATTGTTCAGGTTAGTATGAAGCTTTCCAGGAACAAACTTTGAGAATGTGAGTGTAAGGTTTCTTTGAAATGTTTCTCAGTCTTTAGGGTAGATGTTGTGATAGTTGACACTGCAAATGAAATCCCGCACTGTGATGAACCGGCTAGTTTTGTCTTTTTGTTTTAGTTGTCAGCTTTGTGCATTACTGTTGTATATTTATGTAGTGTTAATGCCTTGCAAATGAAACATTTTTCTGTGAACAAATAATCTTACTGATGTCACAGACTAAAGTTGCCTGGCTGGTTACATAGATTATGATTGGTTGAAATTGAATAGTCATATTTCACAGTTTTCAAAAAAAACAAAAAGGAGAGTACAAGCTTATATTAAAGTTGGATAATTTACAGATATCATTACCTTTTTTTTGTTTTTTTTTGTTTTTTTGAGACCTTGTCATGCCTGTTTATGAGCTCAGCTAGAAAGAGAGACCCGGAACCGTGTAACTCCAGGCACCTTTTTAAATCTAAATGTCAACACAGTTTTATATTTCAATGCGTTACACCTCGTGTGTGCCATTTAGCCATGATCTTTTCTGCTACAAACAAAAGGACTAGGTAATAAGCTATTTTGTATGTTCTTGTGAATACAAGAAATGAGAAAGCAAAACATTTCATTGAAGTACTAAAGCTCATAAATTACAATACACCCTAACCTTTGGACCTTCTTTGGCATATGAATTCTTAGCTGACATGATGATTATATCAGCCTTAAATTCTGAGTGTCATCAGTTTCACAGTGTCTTGGTAAAA